TGAGTCACCTTTTCAGGTTACATAATCAATGGGTATGAAAATAAACATTTTTATATATTCCTTAAGAAGAAAGAGTTGTCCATTACATTAGGCCTAATGAAAAACTAATTGTCTTTTCTAGATACATTGAAATGTCAGACATCATCGTTTCCTGCAATCGGTGTACTTCTACATTATAAAAAGAAATACAGTAACGTCTCAAGCCTTTTGGAACAATATGAAAGTTATTCCTCAGCTACCAGCACTAAACAATCTCTCAAAATTGGAAAATTGGTCGTTAACACGTATAGTACCTTTGGGAAATATTATATGAAAGATTGGTTCAGCTAAAAGTACAGGCCAATCTCCCTAATATCAACGTTTTCAAAAATAATCTAAAAGATAGTACTAGCCCAACTCCTACACCATCTTCAAGAACACAACCTTCTCAATAGTCAACAGCATGGATTTATCAAAGGCAGATCGACAGCCACAGCCTTAACACAACTGACGGAGCACATACTAGACCAACTAGAAGAAGGCAGCATTTCAACAAGCCTCTGCCTAGATTTTAGTAAAGCTTTCGACTGCCTAAACCACGAACTTCTTCTACTCAAGCTGGAAACACTAGGTGTGAGAGGAAGAGCAGCAGAATGGTTTAAAAGCTACATTAGTAACCGGAAACAGCTTGTGGAAATAGCCTACATAAAGAACAACACAAAGTATAAGGCCCAATCCAAAGCTGTAGACGTGAAAAGAGGAGTACCCCAAGGATCAGTACTTGGCCCAGTCCTTTTCCTCCTTCTCACGAATGACCTACCTAGTTGGATTGGGGAAGATGGACACACCACCATGTACGCAGATGACACGGTTCTCACATTTGCGGACAAAACAATGGAAAATCTGGAAGAGAAAACCAACACACAACTCCATAGAACAAAGCAATACTGTACCTCCAACGACCTAGTTCTAAATGAAAGCAAAACCGTTCAAATGACTTTCACCACCAAACACAACAACACAGACATTACAATACCGGGACTACAAACACAAAATACCACAAAATACCTAGGTATCATAATTGACTCCAAGCTATCATGGAAACCCCACATAGACCAGCTCTGCAAAAAGCTAAGTTCAAGTCTCTACGTTATACGTAGGATCAAGCAAGCTTGCAGCCCAGAAGTAGCCAAAGTTGCATATTTTGCTCTATTCAAGTCCCACCTCAGATATGGCATTGCGACTTGGGGTGGAACATCAAAAGGCAACCTGGAAAGAGTACTCCTAAAGCAAAAAAGAGCAATTAGATGCCTTGCCGACCTGAACTACAGAGACAGTTGCCGAGAAGCCTTCAAGAACCTTAAAATTCTCACATCAATTTCACTCTACATAAGAGAAGTCATTATCCACACCACTAAAACAGCCCAGCCAAGACACAGAGACATACACCAGCACAACACGCGACATGCCGCCAATTTTTCCCTCCCACAACACCATCTGAGTCTGTACGAGAAGAAACCATCCGACAAAGGTGCTCTGTACTTTAACAACCTACCAGAGCACCTCAAGAGAGAACAACCCAATCTGTTCAAGAAGCACCTGACAACATGGCTTATGGACCGGCCGTTCTACTCTGAGGATGAATTCTTAAACAATAAGCTACCATGAAAAAAAGAAGAAAAAAAATTCTAATTGTAATTGCAAATTACTGTAATAGTTTACGTACATACTGTACATTTTATGTACCTGACGCATGAATGTTCTCTAGGAATATTTCAATAAAGATTTTTGTCTATTTGTCTATTGTCTATTGTCAACTTCATTATCCCAAGTAAAATACCAAGATAATTTTTAAAATTGTATTTGAATAGTATAATCTTAGTTTGTTAAAAATGGATTGTATATTCAACAATTATTGCAGTCCGTTATATTGTTATGCAGTATTGTCCCAAATTATTGTTTTTTGCTACACAATAAGACAATCCAAAGTCAAACCGGGCAATGAATACCCGAAAAACAACGTATCTTGTCCTGTGATTGGAATACCACTCGCCAGTCCTTAAGATTTAGGGAAGTAGTGCAAGTCTATATATAGCTTCAAGGTAGTAGGTAGATACGGATATCCGAACCGAACCGAATCCGACCCGATTTTTGGGATATCCGCACACCTCTAGTTTCCAGACACATTATGTGTCCAAAAGCCTAACAGCACGACTCCCTTCCCAATACCACCCTCAGCGATAGGGATCATAGGATTTGCTCTAACCTTTCCTCTCCCCTTCATGGGCAAGTTTTCATTCCTTTTCTTTCTTAGTTTTTTTTTTTTTATTTTATCGCCTGTACGTATCCCTGGTTTTTTCTATTTCCCTAGCTACTTTTCAAAACGTCTCAATTGTTTCCTTGTCCTTATATTTTCTCATCTCTAGACCTATCTTATCCAAGACTTCTTCCTGTTCTCTCCTATTCTTCTCCTGAAGAGAACAATTTATAAATACGTGACTCGTGGTTTTTATTTCTCCACATCTACATACTTCCTCTTCCACCATGTGAAATCTTCACAAATTCGCCTTGAAATTGTCCATGTCCTGTGACAAACTGCGGTTCATAATGGCCCATGTCCCAATCTTGTTCCAGTCTCTTTCTGATGTTAGGTATATATCCGAACATTTACCTTTAAAACGTTAACATAAAACACTCTGCTCCCAACGCATTTGCCACTCATCTAATATCTCCTTTCTTCTGTTCCCGATGTAGTCCTACCCGCCTCCTTGTCTTCCAAAATCAATAGCTTATGCAGCAATTATCCAACAGTCCTAAATTCAAATTGAATGTGAAATCTTCAGGCGGCTGTTGGAGAGCACACTTAAACCCAACACGGAAGGGTGCTTTTTCAACGACAATAGTATTATTTGTATTTCGTTCGCGTCTATCAGGTAAAGTTCGTCAGCCTCCTCCTATTGGCCGTCCTGTTCAACGTGTTATAGTCTCCATTATGTCAAACTTTTTTTGGTTATGTTTTAATGTTTTGCAAAATTTTAATATAACCAGCTGTTTCAAATATTAGTGTCAATTTCAAAGTATTCATCTGTTCAAATGTAAACAAACATTTTATCCCCAAGAATAACATAGGAACTTTGAAGGCCACTGGGGCAGAGCCCTGATGGAATTCCAAAGTTTTTTTTGTTTGATGGCAAAACTACATGCTAAGACCTTTCTAACGACACCTTGGACATGGTGATCGGTAGCACCACCACTCCAAAACAATTATGACAAAAATATGCCTAGCGTATTAAATATATAGATATACTTTAGGAGGAATTAATAAATTTGCAAAGTTGTCTCCGCTAGTCTCCTGCGATAGCGGCAAAATCATCTCCATTGTTCACAGAAACATTATCATCAGCGCCATAATCCTAAAAATCTCACCCAAGGTTAGCATCGTCATACGCAATCGTGGCAAAATCCTGAATATCTCCCGCGCTCGTGTGGTCATCATTGTCATTGTCTGCGGTCACGGAAACGTTATCAATATCATCTACAATCGCCGCAAAATCCTGGACATCTCCTGCAGTTTGTAGACATTATCAAGTCTCCCACGGTCATACAATCATCATAATAGTCTTCCGCGGTCATGGAACTGTTATCATCGATATCCTCGATCGCAGTAAAATCCTGAGGATCTCCTGTGGTTGATTGCCTAACAAATCAGCATGGTTTGTATAGGTGAAACGTGGCCGTGATTACTAGTACATGGATTATGTCAAGTAAGTATAGATTTTGAAATATAAATATGGCTAATTTAGTGCCACCGGGAGATCTTTCCACTGTTTGGAATATAACAGAGAACTGGATGAGGTGCAAACAGAGATTTCAGTTGTAGGCAGGCCTAGACTCTAAACAGGACAGATTAGTGTCTTTATTGTAAATGTGCCTGGGGGAGCCTAGAATTGACATTTATCATAGTTATACCTTTCCCGATGATGAGAGTAAAAATAAATTTGATGAGGTAGTAAACGTTTTGATGAACATTTCATCCCTAAAAGAACGTGACTTTCTTTCGTCATCAGTTATTTACAAGAGCTCAACTGGATGGGGAATCCGTTGAACAGTTTGTTACTGATCTCCGTAACAAGGCTAACGACTGAGAATTTTCGGATTTAAAGGATGACTTGATTAAAGACAGACTTGTGTGCGGGTTACGAAGTCCTCAGCATAAAGAGAAACTTCTTTGTGAGTCAGATTCAACTTTGCAGAAGGCCATGGATATTTGTCAAGCCTCAGAGGTATTGTTTCAACAGGTTAGTCTAGATAAACTCCAAACTATCTTCATGCAGTCCAAACAAAAAGAAACAAAATCTCTTTTAAACCTGATCAACAACATGTCAAAAACAAACAGTTTAAATATACAGTAATATAAAGATAGTGGAACGCCCAAGGATAATAGTAGGCCCAATCCTTGTAACAAATGTGGTAAAGTGCATGCCTTAAGCAATGTCCTGGTTTTGGAGTAAGATGTTTTAAATGTAATAGATATAATCATTATTCAAAAATGTGCAATTTTGGCAATCAGGTACATACTGTTGTAGAAGAACCTATAGGCCAGACATCTGAGCCTAGTAGTAATGGTTCTGGGCATTTGTTTGTGGGAGGTGTAGATTTGAAAAAAGATTTAATTAAACACAGTAGGCCTAGTGAATCTGTAGATGATTGGCGAGTATATTTGATGGTTCGGTGGGATGTGTTCCACATCATTGTCAAATAGTACTTGAGGACAATGCTGCCCCCATTGTATCATGTGCTCGAAGAATACCTTTAACGTTAGAAGATAAAGTTAAAGCTAAACACTATCCATATGGTCCTTGCGCTTGGTTCCCAGGGTGAGGGAGTTCTAGTCTAGCGACTTCAGACATGGAATAATCTATTTTGAAACCAACATTTGGATGTGTTAACTTAATTGTGATTTGTTGACTCTCAACTATTTTGAGGTATTAAGAGACGTGAAAATGTAATTGTATACTAACACAGAGATGGCCATTAAGCACAATAGTGTCAGGTGTAGTGATATGTTCTGTGAAGGAGATGGAGGGTGTGCAGCAGGCCACGACCAGGTGAACCACATTGATAGAGAGAGGTCTAAGAGTTGCCTCTATGTCCATAGGATCCTTGGCCTTGGAAAACACCAGCATACCTATCAGACCGTCCAGGTTGTGCTCCAAGATGTGGTATTTTGTACCTGAAAATAAAATAAACGGTATCAGCAATCTCATACATACTTTCTCCCATTAGCTTGTCAACAACCGTTATCATGGGTAAGCGATGAGAGTAACTATGAATTGCTAAACTTTGAATTACCATAACGTTTGATAGAATTGGCATATAGACCTCTAGTGTGTACCATTCTTTTTCTGGTATTATGACCTTTACAATTATATATAACTCAATAGGGGTTTACGTTTGAAAATTTTGACTTACCCCGAAACTACCCCTTTTGGGGGGGAGGGTTGAAAATTTACATACACCAAAAACTTTCTTGTTTATCATATAAACATTCCCTGAATATTATAATTTTATCTCTATCAATAAAAAAATAAAATAAATATCTCATCAAAATTAAAAAGTAAATCATTGCTGGGCCCACGTCTTATATGCCATCTACGGCAATAGCTACTTCCCAATGGAAGTTTGCCAAAACATAAAATGTTTGTCATATATATATTTTTTTTAGTCACTGTTTAAATTACAGTTAATCACTAAGGGTCACGTAAATTTAATTTACCAACGACCATTTTTTTAAGTGGTTTCAGTTCAGTTCTTAGTAGAGATGGACAGGTCCCAAACTTTCGGGAAATTTTCGGGAAAAAAATATTCCCGATTTTTGGGACGGTATTAGATTTGATTCGGGAATTTTTTGGGACAGGATTTGATCCGATCGTCGGCGATTTTACCACTTCGCAAGCGACGATGACGCCGCTATCGTGAGAGATGTTCACGATAGTTCCGCAGGAGGCGAAGTCATTTTGACGATCGCGCCGTGACCGCGAAGTCACACCGACAATCCCGTCGAGACCGCGGAGTCATAATGACAATCGCACCGTTACCGCGGAGTCATTCCGACGATCATGCTATGACAGTGGACTCATTTTGACGATTCCGCCTTGACCGCAAGTCATACCGAGGATCACACTGTGACCGCGGAGTCATCTTAACGATCACGCCGTGACCACGGAGTCATACCAACTATCCCGCCAAGACCGCGAGTCATACCGACGAACACACCGTGTCGGCAAAGTCATTTCGACAATATTTTTTGGTAACTGCAATACTCAAGTCTTTCTTTTTATGCACAGGAAAAAATCCTGTCCCAAAAATCGGGAAGGAAATAAAAATCCCATCCTGCCACAAACTAAAAATTCAATCCCGTCCATCCCTAGTTCTTAGAATTGAAAAGTTTTTTACATAACAGCATTGTTTACTTTCATAACAGCATTGTTTTACTCATAACAAAACGGGTAACGGACCAATAAGGTTTAAGGATTGAGAGAGGAGAAGTAAAATTGTAATGAATAATTCAAACTTCAACTAATCAGCTGTTCAGGCCAATTTAATTGTTGAGTGGTGCAATTAGTGTTTCGTTGCATCACTGTCAGTGGCTATGAAAGGTTATAAACAAAAACATTACCTCCCTTAGAAGTTATGAGTAGTGATTTTTAGTTATTAAAACACTGTCGTAGGTAAAGTAGTGTTCGCAACTCGCGAAGATAGTGTTAAAAACACGAGTAGAAAATTTAAGGTACGAGCCTCATCGTTGCATAAACAATTACTACCGATAACTATATACAATAACTATATACTTCATAAATGTACCTGGGCCTCTAAACACCTTTGAAAACCATTAAAAAAAAATATTTTGCATCAATATTGCTCTAACTATTTATAATGATAACACTTTTAACCGTTTTATATTAGTTAATTTATGCTTTCAATTATTGATATTTTCAAATTACTATAAACAGTCAATTTTAACTTATTTGTTTCGAGTTTCAATTAAAATTGTATTAAATATTTCAAGAATAAACATATTATAGCAAAACATAAATCTGATTTTCTTAGAGAGCTTATGCGTTTAAAATACCTTTTAATAAACTAGGTGAAACCACTTTCCAAAGACATGTGAGGTAGAATCGCAGCTGGTTTAGAAAATGGTGCTTTGAATTATCTTGGTAGTTCTGCACCTTATCTGAAAAAATAAGCCACTATCAATTGATAAAAACTAAAAAAACAATAGGCAACCGTATTTTTTAACTGCAAATTAAGATGATTTAAAACAAATACCCCCGCCGCAGCAAACCTGCAGACTTAGCGAATTTCCATTTGCCTGATTGGATTTAAATTAAAATGTCTCCTTAAAAATATCACATTTATTCCCTCTTTAAACAGAATTAGTTTAATGAGTACTTAGGTTTGCTGCAACAGGGAGGGTAAAAAAGTTTTTTTTAATGCAAAATGTTAAAAGGTACTGTGGTTTAGTAAGAAATTAATGTTTTTTCCAAATATGATCAAAATATGTTCATAAACAAGCAAACTACAACAGATCGTGCGTTATCGTGCTCCATAAGAATAACATAGGAATTTTAAAATTACAATTTTTTTTAACTTTCTCCGTAACAATTAGGCGCATAATAACGCTTCAATATACTAAATTATTAGTTTTTTACAACTCTACAAAATGGTTTAAAAAGAAATTGTGAAATTTTGTGTTTTTAGGGTCAAAAATGGGAAAAACCCTATTTTTACCCCCTAAAACCCCCCATAAACCCCCGTTCCCATAGTCCGATCATGCTGGTTCGCAAACTCATTCAAGTTTATCCCGCCTTACACCTTCAAACCAAATTTTATCAAAATTGGACAAAAATTACTCAAGTTATCGTGCGGATGGACACACATATATATATATATAATATAGATATATAAAAATTTTAGCGAATGGTGTTTTTGGCCTCTGGGGACATCATAATGAAAAAGTAAATCGGTCCCGGGCCTAGGTCTTACCATGAGACCTACGGTAATCGCTACTTCCCTATAGGGAAATTCGCTAAAAGGAATACAAGGCATGTTTTTTAAGTAAGTACCGATTTAAATTTCTCCGTTCCAGCACTGCGGTTGGCATTTTGGATATTTGTGCTGTGTATGTGCATCTATTGGCTGTGCCGGAAATTTGGCAACAATCTGCTGTGTTTACATACGGTTTCGAGCATTAAAAATGGTGCTGCCGACTGTGAAGTGCATGCTGTAATTAGTTAAGTGCTAAGGTCATTGAAATTCATCGACAGATTAGTAAAGTAAGTAAGTGGGTAAGGGCATTTTAACACGTTGACTGCGCGTGCCGACTTTAGTCGGCGACGCCAGCGCTCCCAGGTGGCGCGCGCCGACTAAAGTCGGCAACAGACCAACAGAAATATATTAAGTCAGTGTGAGCTTAGCCTCAGACGGAGACGTTATAATCGTTGCCAGCCTGCCAGCTTAGAATGCGAGCTTTACTTTGGTGTAGGTTGGTACTAAAATTTCCCGTAAAATCCTGTCTGGCAATGCTTTTGTCCCGGTTTCGGGGATTTTTTCTCTTCAACCCACATTACAAAGACACTGGATACGGATCCATGCAGTGCTGCTACCTTTGGGTGTTTCAGTGAACTACATCCACTCTCGGGGTAACGCAGCACAGTCACCACTGCTCTTTTGTGATACGTCAGACTGAAATATTTGAATGCCAATTGCGTTCGCTGATTCGGTTGCGCGCCGGGGCTTCGCCCGCCACTGGGGAGCGCCTGTAAAGTCGGCGTGCGCAGTCAACGTGTTAAGGGGCGTTCATGATGAGCAATGCACTGGGTGGCCATCTGTCAGAGAACAGACGGTTTATGCTCGCATCATTATCTGATGAGTTTCCTTTAGTTTTGAGAAGTGTCCTTTATAATATTGTGACTGAAAAATTAATGTACCGAAAATTGTGCTCATGCTGGGCGCCGAAAATTTTGACTGAGATGCACAAAACCAAGCATCTAGGCAGTGCATTTACTTTTCTTTAGTGCTACGAGGAGAAAGGAGATGATTTGTTAAGTCAAATTGTTACACGCGATGAAACATGGGTGTCTTATGTTCCGCCAGAGTCAAAAAAACAATCCATGGAATGGCGGCATACACATTCGCCAAAGAAACTGAATTTTAAACAAAGATTTCAGCCTGAAAATTGACGTGTACTGTCTTTTGTGACAGAAAGGGGGGTATTACTGGTAGATTTTATGCCTCGTTGTGACACAATTATCTTAATATCATACTGTGAGACCTTGAAAAATTGCGCCGGGCAATCAAAAACAAGCAGCGTGGAATATTGTCCAATGGTGTCATTTTGCTGCACGACAATGCCAGTCCACATGTGGCTAATCGAACGCAAGAACTAATCGATTTATTTTGCTGTGAAATACTTGACCACCCTCCATATAGCATTGATCTAGCGCCCACTGACTACCACCTTTTCCTATATTTAAGGCAACATCTTGGTGGTTAGCGCCTTGACAACTATGATGAGGTCAAATCTGCAGTGACACTGTGGTTATCCAGTCAGGCGGCAGAACTCTTTGAGAAAGGAATGCAAAAGCTCGTGGAACGATATGATAAATGCCTTGATATTGATGGAAACTATCTCAAAAAGTAGATTAAGATACTGGCTTTTTAAATAAAAATATAATTATTACAATAAGTATACTGGTTTTTTTTTTATTTTAAAACGGTACTTACTTAAAAAACATGTTCTATAACTGTACCTTTTTTTGTACGTATAAGGGTATACATTGAACACTTCAGGATTAATTTGTATGAACACCTTAAAAAGTAATTAAACACAATAATGTTAACAATAAATCGGAGTTACAGACAGTACAAGATTTGTTATTACCTTGTGCTGAAATGGCAGCCACAGCGAGTTTGAGGTAAGCAGCATCAGCTAGGTTATCATCTTCTGATGCAAGAGCTGTCTCCAGTGAATCAAGGCCTTGTTGAACAGAGACCCACACTCGTCGCAAGGCTATAGAAGGGTCCAGCAGGAGCTGACTAAGAGTAGCTGAGTTCTCAGACTCCATCAGCAAGGATCGTAAACTAGCTGTGAATGCCTTCAAGGTACCTGAAACTGGTGACAAGTTTCAATTGATACTGCTTAAGCATAAACTGATAAACTATGTCAAACTGTAGAATTGGGTGAAAGCCATAGCAAACCTTTACTTCTAACACACCGCAGTCGTTTCTTATTTTTCTTTGACGTTTATTGCACAATATATTTTTACTTTCTCCCCCTATACCATAGTATATGGAGAAAGTATTGTTTTCGTCAAAATTTTCGAGTTTGAGTTTTGAGTGGATATATTCGTTTTGGGTCCCCCTGGACCCAAAAAAGTGGTTTTCGAAGTGATGTCTGTGTGTGTGTGTGTGTGTGTGTGTGTGTCTGTGTGTCTGTGTGTGTGTCTGTGTGTCTGGATGTGTACAGAGCTAGGGACTACACCTGTGGTCCGATTTCGATGAAATTTGGTATGTAGGTTCTAATCCATGGTATCTCCAGGCGTTTTTTTCATTTTTTTGAAATTTTGATTTTTAATGGGGATTTTCCCATAAAAACCCATAAAAAACCTGAAAAATCGGATTTTCTCGAAAATGGCCCGAACGATTTTGATAAAAATTTAGTATGTTGTAGCCCTTTAAATTCTGAACAAAATGGTACAAATCCCATTTCTGTAAAAATTACGGTTCAAAAGTTATGGTAAATTATGTTATTTTCCCATAAAACCCAATAAAATAACGAAAAATAGGATTTTAGAAAAAAATCCGGTTTTATTTTAACATAGTATGTTATGGTCCTTAAAGTTTTGATAGTTTTTTCATTTTTAAAAAATTTTAATTTTTAATGGGAATTTTCCCATAAAACCCCATAAAATAACAGAAAAATAGGATTTTCCCAAAAACGGCCCGAACGATTTTGATAAAAAATTTGTATGTTATAGTCCTTAATATTCTGAACAAAATGGTACAAATCCCATTTCTGTAAAAATTATGGTTCACAATTATGTTATTTCCCCATAAAAACCCCATAAAATAACGGAAAAATCAGATTTTCACAAAAATGGCCCGAACGATTTTGATAAAAATTTGTATGTAGTCCTTTGAATTCTGAACAAAATCGTACGAATTACATTTCCGTATATTTACTTTCACCGCTTACACATGATAAAGGTTGTTGACAAACTTATGGGAGAAAGTATGTGTCAGAATGCTGATACCGTTTATTTTTTTTTTTAAAGAGGTTGGCGGCCTCTTTTAACCTTGCATCTGCCCGTCCACATAGACTAAGCACCCGTGCGTGGATCGTTTACAGCAAAGCAAGGAGTGAGCCGGTACAGTACAAAGGTGAACTGTACTGATAAAATGTAATTGGCAGTGACCAGGATCCGAACCCACGACATCGCTGCCTTGGGCCCGAAGTCCGCGACGCTACCGACTGAGCCACCGACTCACTAAATATAAACTAATATAACTACCGGTAATAAACTGTTTATAAACTAATATAAACATCTTACTACAATTATAAATGTAAAAGTTTGTTTGTTTGTTTGAAGCTTAATCAAGCATTAACAACTGAACGTAACAAAAAACGCAACAGGGTAGTGTGCACGAATCCCCGAGACTGGACAAGTTTTTGGTCTTTGTCCAGTTGTACTAAGATAATTGATTATGATTTCAGTTTTGACAAAAATAGTCAGTACAGATTGTATCCCTGCCTTATTAAATTCTTCCATTACAAGTCCCAGAATTAAATGGCCATAATTAATTGTCTTTACTTTCTAGTTAATTGCGTCCTTAAGATCCATTGGAGTACGGGGTTTGTGAGTGTAGATGCTAAATTTGAGAACGCCTCACAGAAGAAATTTACAAACGCTAAAATCTGGTGATCGAGGGGCCACGACATAATATCACAACATAAATATTGGGAAGGTGAAATAAACCGTTCTAGAATATAAATATAATAAATTTAATGAAAACTGAATCCTTATGGGCAGTGAATCTTGTTAAATAAACACATATTAGGTTTAATGTTTATATAACGTTGTTGTCTCACCTGTGACCTAAAAAAGAGCTTAAACATATCAACAATTATGAACCACAGCTTGAGGGCTACAGTTTAACATAGTCAAGCTGTAGTCAAATTTGAAACTGAATTGAGTACCTCATCTGAAAGGGCTTTCTGTTCAGAGACAAAGTCAGTAGGTGTCATAGATCAAGTCAAACCCCAAAACCAAATACAGCAAAGTATTTAGATGATATATATAATATTAATATATCATATAATCTTATCTTACTAATATTATAAGTTTGTTTGTTTGTGTGTTTGAAGTTCAATCACGCTTTAACCACTGGACGGATTGGGCGGAAATTTGGCATGATGATAGCTCAGTGTTTGTCTCTTGATGCAAATAACTTACATGCCAAGGCCATGTCTCAGTGTTTGTCTTTTGATGCAAATAACTTCATATGCAAATACGAGTAAATAAGTCCATTTTCAAACTTCAAATACATTAAATACTTAACTAACTGTTGTTTATATTGTTTGTTTTCATATAAATAATTTATATATATATATATATATATGTGTGTGTCCGTTAGCACGATAACACATGCAAAAATGATCAGATTTTGATGAAATTTGGTATAAACGTGTAAACCTACATTTATTCAAACGAGTTTGCGAACCAGCATGATCGGACTATGGCAACGGGGGTTTATGGGGGGTTATATGGGGTAAAAATAGGTTTTCCCATTTTTGACCCTAAAAACACAAAATTTCACAATTTCTTTCCAAACCATTTTGTAGAGCTTAAAAAACAAATAATTTAGTAAATGGAAGCGTTATTGTGCGCCTAATGGTTACGGAGAAAATTCCAAAAGTATGTAAATAAAAATTCCAATGTTATTCTTATGGAGAATAAGTCAACTATTGTAGTTTACTTGTTTATAAACATATTTTGATTGAATTTGGAAAACATTTATTTCTAACTAAACTATTAACATTTTACAACAAAACAAAATTGTACCCTCCCTGTTGCAGCAAAACTAAGTACTCGTTAAACTAATTCTATTTAAATAGGGAATAAATGTGATATTTTTAAGGAGGCATTTTAGTGTAAATCCAATCAGGCTAATGGGAATTCGCTTAGTCTGCAGGTTTGCTGCGGCGAAGGGTATTCGTATAAAATTCCAGTTAAAAAAATCAATTAAAAAGTAAACTTAGATCCATGACAATTGTATTTCTGCACTTAAGGGACTGTGTTCCTAAAGAAACTCTGAAAATGGTTTATCATGCTTATGTAGAATCAGTATTGAGGTATGGTATAATCTTATGGGGTCAGGCTACCGGAGTCAAATCAATATTCAGGCTACAAAAACGCATTATCCGTATTATGATCTGCTCTCATCCACTTAGTTCATGCAAAAACCTTTTTCGAAATTTAAAAATCCACACCCTAACAGGACTGTACATTTTGGAATCACTAAACAACATTCATTCAGCTAAAAACAACCTCCCAAAATCAATTCAAATCAACCATAGATATAATACTCGAAATGAAAACATTTTTAGATTTCCAAGGCACCATTTGACCCTTTATGAAAAAAGTCCACTATACGCTGGGCTGAGGCTGTACAATGTGCTGCCTGCAAACTATAAATTGTTAAATGAAAATAATTTTAAAGATAAAATAGGTGAACTCTTAATTGACAGCCTTTTATTTAATTGCAAATTTTCACAATGCCCCTTTAGTTTAGAATAGTTTTATCATTCAATTTTGTGTATTTATATTATTATCTTGATTACTATTTTATTTTTTATATCCTGATAATTTTAACTCTGACAATGCACCTATTCTGTATGTAACATATGTAAAGAATGTTATGTGCAAATAAAATATGTCTATGTCTATGTCTATATAAGATAGATGTTTTTCATAAGGATTACATGGAAACTTTAAAAGCCACTGGGGCAGAGCCCAAGGGACTTTTTTCAAAAGTGTAAGGTCAGTTTCCAAATCTAGGTGACACGCTCTTTCCAATGACCAGTCAATGATCAAAATCGGTTAAGAAATGGCGGAGGAGTTCAAAAGACAAATTTCGTGTTGGCGTATTGATTATATAGATTTCATAAAAATGTATGTGGTGAACATTAGGAGAAAACTTGACAAAAATCACAAAAAATTGGGTTTTTTAGCATTCGTTATTTAAATTCAAATTCAAAAGTAGTGTGAGGCCATATTTTAATAGCTAAAAACACTCTTGCCAATTCAGTGAATCCAAAAAGACTATGTGAAGATTTGGCATTTATAACTGCTGCGGGCAAATGCTCTCACAAACGCTCATTTATAAACGTCCCGTGCCAACTGGGCATTTGCCAGCCCCACATTACAACTAGTAGTGAATCCGATAAAAATGTATATGAACAGGATATGTGTAGGAAACAGATCAACTGTGAGGACGCTCTAAAAATGGAGACTATGTGTACAGTCGTGGGAAATATTTTTGGTATCGATTCCGGGAAGTGACCAAATAAACCGAGGACCGGAAATTCCGAAGCCGGATTTTAGGGGTTCTACTGTAATATGTCACGGGACGAGATCAAACAGTGATTTGTTTTTGACCGGACCCTAATAACATGTAACTCTTTACCAACCTAACAGTCAGGTGGGTCCTAGAATAGCATTTAGACATTTAGCCCTATACTGATCTAGGTTGAGGATACAACCTTACCCTCAAGGGGTCTGTAGTAATAATCCATGCCTGCCTTCTTTCTTATGTTAAAACTACCTTCTTTGAGCTAACATATGTTTTATTTTATTATTATGATTTTGTAAACATTATCCAATTTAAATACACATCTTGTCAAGTCTATTAATTTTGTCTTGTCTGTCTTTAATATTTTTAACATTGGTGCCGAAACCCGACTTATAAATTATGTCAAGAAATATGTCAATCCGAAAGTCAAGGAGAGAGAAACACCCTCCAAATAGATATTCCCCAGAAAATGTAAATGACAAGAATGATGAACTCATAGAAAGAGATAGTCAACCTCTAAAACCCCCTTCTAAGTCAAAA